CCCATGAATCGTGGTGGGCGTGGTCCTCGACAATGCTTAGCTAGGTGGTACAAGTAAACTCCACATGGATGGCAGGACCCAAGGTTTCCCAGCAGAACATTGACATTACCTTTCTAGCGGCTTGACTTCTTTCTACAGTGCATCCTGGTGCCTGGGTTAGGGTTATGTAAGCATTCGGCAGTGGACAGGGGTTAGCTCTTCTCTTGTATCTGACCACATAGGCCAACCACTAACATGCATCACTGAGACTTGGCCAACCATGACTCAGTCTCTGGTTCACCACTGTTCCTTCCTTGGACTCCCTTTCATAGAGACTGGGAAAACCCCACAAGAGTTACAGTTTTGGAGATGCTCTGACCCAGTCATTTAGGCATAACAATTTGACCTTATGCGTGCCTATTTTTCCAACTGCTTTTTGCAATGTGCCAAAATTCTTGTGGATTATTTAAACATACAGTACTGTAGGTCATTAACTATAGCACCAAAGCTTTTGTAAAGTGCTTCAAGTTTGTTAAATCTATAAGTGAACTATACACTTCAAACTGATGAAAGTTCAACACCTAACAGCATATTGGCAAGTAACAGTAACAGGGGAGAACACAGCAATGTACATAATGACCAAAGTCACTTATTAATTATGTTGTTTGTTTGTATGAATGCGGCAGCATTATGTCCTCTCTGTTCGTAATGGATGGTCCAGTGTGTCTTTGGTAAAGGAGTGAAGAAAAAAAAGCACCTTTCCTGAGTATTTAGAGAATTCCACATGCCCGTATGATAGGTACCAGGCTGAAACTGCGCTGTGAAAAAGTATTTACCCACTTCCTAGTTTCTGTTTTTCCTCTTTTTCCTCACACGTTTCAGATCACGAAACAAATTTAATTATTTTAAAAATAACCCAAGTAAATAGAAAATCAGTTTTTTAAATGATGATTTATTTTATTAAATATTATTTTATATTAATAGTTCCCTCCTTATTCAATCATAAATTAACTGTGATTAACTACATTTTTTGGAAAGCTAATCTCTGGTTCAACAGCCACACTATCCTGAGTACTGCCAGACCTGCTCACTGAAGTAGAAAATGTATGTATGTATGTATGTATTAAGTGAAGTAAACTGAAAGATCTCTAAAAGCAACACATCATTGCACAAAGAAACATCAAGAACAACTCCGCCAGGATGTCTCAAAAGTCTCACTTGTCTCAGTTAAGGTCAGTTTTGATGATTTAACAATAAGAAAGAGACTGGGCTTCCATGGGAACGTTCCAAGGTTCCAAAGGCTTTTTCCCGTTAACCAAAAAACCCAACATTCAGTGAAAGGAACTCCTAATGCTTCAGTATACCAAGACATTTTGGACAATTTTTGGACAATTATATACTCTCAAGTTTGTGGGAACGGTTTGGAGATGGCTCCTCCCTGTTCAAACATGACTGTGCACCACTGCACAAAGCAAGGTCCATAAAGACACGGACGAGTTAGTTTGATGTGGAAGAACTTAACTGGCCTCAAATCAACCTGACAGAACACGTTTGGGATGAGTTAGAGAATCAGTGTCTGGCCCCACAAGTGTGATTCTGGAAAAATGGTCAGAAATTCCCACAAAAACGAAACCTTGGTGAAGCTGTTATAGCTGCAAACAGCGGCTGACATCATATTAAGCTCTATGGATTAAGAATGGGATGTCACAGACGAGTGAATGTGTTTGGCATCATACTGTATGTTCATTGTGTCCCAACACATGTAGATTTCCATTTCACACAATCTGTCATTCCTGCTCAGTGGCTGGAAATTTCAAACAGAGATGTGAACCAAAACTCTGTCATTTGCATGCCACAGATCTGCCAGTCAAATAAAATATTCAGTCCAACTGTCACAGGTGAAAGTCTAGCTGCAAAATTATTTCAACACTATTGTTAATCAGGAACAAAACATTTCATACTGAGCCGTCCATCAAGACCACAATATTTTGCAAACTCTCAACTTCAGTCACTAAAAAGAAAAAAAGAAAAAAAAATCCCATTTGGTGTAATAATTCATCTGCTCAGTTATTTTATCTGTGCATTCATAAACCTGAACTCTCGTTTGAATGTGTTTATTTACAATGTAACTTTATTCTGTTTTAGGGCCAAAAAGCAAGCTTTAAAGGTAGCAGAGATATCAGCAAAGGCACGTCTTTGTTACCCACAGGGTTAGTTACTGTATTTGGCTCTGTACTCTGTGAAACTCTAAACCACTGTCCTGCTCAAATGCTCACATTTGAGCAGGACAGTGGTTATTGACAGTTATTATTGACAGAATAACCAGTTATTCTGCCAGAACAAGAACGCTGATATCACTGCAGGTAAGTCCTGTAATTAGAAGACGCAGGAGAATTAGAGGACATAAGTGACATAACTGACTTAAACTTAACAGGTAAACTCGTCCTCTTTTCCTTATTTAAAAAGTTTTAACTTTTTTTTAGCTGCTTTCATGGTTAAGTGGCTCCCTAAACCTTAACAAGCTGAAGATCCAAACATGCCACATCACCCACGGTGGCACCCCCTTGTGAATAAGTGTATTTTCAACATGTAACAGAAGGCTAATAAGACATATTAACTAGTTTAACAATTGTGGTTTTGGTATCTAGAAAGGCTCCTGCAGGCAGTTGTGCTTGTAGTCACAGAAACCCTGATAACAGACCCACCTGAGAGAGTAGCCTCTCCTATAACCACTGACGTCAGTGGCTTCAGCTTTGCAGCCAGCAGTTTATTCATATCATGCTTTTAGTACAAACCAGGTTCTTTTAGGAAATGTGTGGAACAGATTGAAAACAGTTCATAGTGACTCCCTTTGCCGCACAGCTGGGACCTGTAAAGGTGAAGTATATGATCCTTTGTTTATTATAAAGTTCATCACTGACATGTAAACTATGTTATCCTACACACTCCTTGGGTGTGGGTTCACATGGACCCTGTTAGAAACCGTCCCAGTGGGCTTGTGTCTAACCCATCACACATGCAGAGTGAGAGAGGATTCACAGCTTTCACAGCTGAGCTCTGATAACAAACACAAGTCAAAGCATTGATGACTGGCAGAGGACGCACAGGATGAAACACAGTGAGGTGTTTTACATGTGAAGCTAGACCTCGTGAAAACACCCTGTGTTCACTAACCAGACTCACGTTTTCTTAAACAGTCCTCCCACGCTGCTGCCCACCAGCAGAAAGAACTGCTGAGAGACAAACACCCAGGTGATCTGCTGCAGGGTCGACTGGGTCTGACACCTCAGGTCCAGGATAGTGGGTCCCAGGAAGGCGATGCACAGGCCGAAGCTGAAGAACACGCTCCAGTAGGTGAGAGTCTGTGGCCAGTGGCGCTTAAACAGCAACCAGATCCGCTCGTCCAGCAGCATCGTTAACACGTCTGAGCAGACGGAAGTCCTGAGAGGCCTCACAGCTGCCAGCTGCTCATATCTACAGAGCCGGCTCCTTCACACTGAACTGAACACACTGCCAGCCGACAAAGTAAACAGAGTGCGAGCACTCAGCCGAGGCGTCCTCCACTGCTGTGCCAGCGAGCTTGTAGTGAAAATCACGTTGATTGGCTGTCGAAAGCACCGCCCTCATGATAATGACAGCTCTGATCCGTTTTGTCTCATCCGAGATCCGTTTTCTGTGAGGACAGAAACGTCTAAAAGTTGTTGTGGTTCTTCCTGGAGGGTCGACGGAATTCTCATGTGACTGTCGTTACAGGAGGCTGTGCAGGCATGCCTGTAGGATTCAAAGCAACATTCCTCAAAAACAACCCATACATGATGCAGATGATGACATTAAATGGCGTATAGAACTGGAAGAAGAAACAAATCATAGTTAATCCATTTGAGCCCAGATGCTTTTTTACTGTCAGGAAAACTATGTCAGAGTCAGTGTTGACCTTCAGCAGGAACCTTCCTCAGTGTGAAAGTCACCGTGAGCTCTTTTGAAATATATATTTTGCAATAACTATTAAATAATTTTATTTTAATATGTCATCTCAAATATTTCACCTACAAATTAAGAACTAATTACAGGTTTAACATAGTTATTTTTTTATTAAAGTAAGTTACAGCTGCTGCGGCGTGTTCTCGCCTCTACAACACAGATATGATATCCGATGTATGATCAATTTCAGAGTTGTGCAGGTCGTCCAATATCTTGTCTCAACTGTTTAGTTGTATCTTCCTTCTCTTCTGTAGTCCTACACAGACTACATAATGTCAAATATGACTTAAAAGGTTAAGCTAGAGCTTTCTCTAGTGCTGTGGTGTCAAACAGTCCGCAAAGACTCCAATCTGGCCCGCTGGATGACTTTGGAAAATCTGAAGGAGAACAGTAACTGGTGAAATATAATTATAATATTTTTGTTTATTTATTATTATATGTGGACTTCTTACACTCACTCATATTTCTTCCAACAAAAAATCTGAGCCATAGGTCCCCAGGGTGAAACAGTTCCCTCAGTTTCCGGTGGAAATGCATTGTTTCCTTTACTGAGAGACATGCGTAGCAGTAACATGTTCAGGGTTAGCTTTAGGGTTTGTGAGTGGGAGGGTGTAACTATAAAAGATGTGTCTTTCAAATGAAGCATCATACGTTCATTTTGGCCTTGAAGGTTTACCATTTTTCAAACGGGTGAAGATTTTGTAAAAAGAGGGGATATTAACCTCCCCTGAACCCTAACCCTGGTTCTTCATGGGTTGTTACTGACCTTGTGGACGCTGAAAGGTAAACTGTTAAACTCCTTAAATAATAGCTCATTTACGATGCTTTCCATGGCATACAGGGCACAATCGGATGTTTCTACATTAAGAAACACATTCATTCTCCCCGCTCTCTTCAGTCTCTCTCTGCTTTCCCCTCGCTGAGCAGGAAGAAGCTTCTGCCTGAGGCTTCTTCCTGCTAAAAGAGAGTTTTTCCTTCTCACTGTTGCCAAGTAATTGCTCATAGGGAGTTATCTGATTATCTCTATCATTTTAGGCTTTTACCTTACAATATAATGTCTCTGTTGGTGTGAATTGGTGATATATAGATAAGGTTGAATTGAATTGCAGGACTGGTCAGGATAAAAAGGAGCAGAGATCTTCATAACTCTATACATGTAAATGCATATAAATTGTATTATTTCATACAAACAGTAATGATGATCTTGACTCTGCTAACAGATGAATCTCATGGCAAACAAAAGTGAAACAACTCTATTGCACAGGCTGTCGATACAATGATGCCATTAAATCTGTGACTACTGACAGAACTAAACATCTGCTTTAGAAAAGCTTTCTTCCCGGGGCGTTTCTTTATTGTTGTTACAACACCCCTGACTGATTTAACCATTCTAACACTTCCTGTTTTATACTGGAATAAAAACTGTGGTTGATGGGTGTTTTCAGATCATCGTCTGGCTGTGGGATAAAAGTGAGAATTAAGGAATTACTTTCTGTCTGCACACTTCTGCATGCGTCTCTCTGCTGCCACCATCTGTGCCAGTTACAGAAGCTGCAAACATATCCAGAGCGTCATATGACTTCTATGTTTCACTGACACTCTGGAATGACTTGGATTGTGGCCACATCCTGCGTCTCTGCACAACATCTGTCTGGTCTTTGTTTCTTTTAAATCAACTCTTTGAATTCCTGCCGCAGTTTACAGGTCTACAAACTCATTATGCCTGTGACACTGACACTCTCTGGACCTGTTTATCAGTCACAGTCAGTTCTCTGGTCCTCCAATATTTACCTTAACTGATAATAACAACTGAGTTTAATTGTTGTTAACTGAAATTACTGGAGCTGTCACTGTCCTTGTATTCTCTTCATTCATCCAGCAAAAACAGCCTGTAGTTGTCCAGTAGCACCACCTTGTGTTCATCTGAGTTACTACTTCTTCTCCTTGGTATCGTGTCCACCAAGAGCAGCATTATGGTAGACGTACACAAAAAGACTGGAACCAGTTTTCTCCACAATTTCGGCAGTTTATTGATTCATTAATTGAGCAATTATTCAATCAGTTTTATGCCTATGGCGGTCACAGTACATTCAATTTCTCGTTGTATAACAGTGTAGACAAATCCCACAAAATATCACATCTCATACAAAATCTAAACTCATCGTTTATAAAACATTTAGACGTCATCTACAGTTTTTTTTCTTTATTTTTATTTTAAGAGCTCCGCTTTTTTTTTTAACATCATAAAACTCACTGAGAAAAATGAGAACATCTGTTAAAATACATATATTATTTATTTTTTCTTTATTACAATATTTAAAATAGCTTCATTTACCACAACTAAACACACAGTAATACTTCTGCCATTGAGGGAGGAGGAGGGGAAGGTTGGAAGTGTAACGTCTACAGCGATACATCCATCTGAAGTCCCTGCAGGTGGGCCCTGAATTCCTCTCCTCGGTGTCTATCTTTGCTCTAACACGCTGACAGGTGAACAGAGGTTGGGATGGTTGTACCATTATTCTATTCACCCACTTGTAGAGGTAGAAAAAAAATTTGAATGGCGTCTGTCTCTTCACTCATATACAAGCGTAACCCCATTGACGGTGCTCAGAAAGCACCTGCTTTAGAGGCTCAGTGCTTGACTTAAGGACACTTGGACCCAGCTCTCTGCTTCTCTACTGCTGTCCTCTATGAGCACTTTAAAGTGACATTTGTTTGTTTGCACTTGGATAGAGAGCACACATAGCCAGTAAATCTGTGGATTGACTTATCTATTCAAGCTAAGTAAAATACAACTGGAGTGGCAGTAGATTTCATTAGGACATATCTACACTCACCCAAAAAGGCTTTTACAGCCTCTTGGAATTGCCATCCCCACTCAACGCCTCATTTGGCATGTTAAAACTACTGTAGCCTGTGAGACTGTTCACATTAGATGTGCAGCAACACCCAATACTGCAACATAAAAATCAAGGGTTGGTCTTTTTTAGCAGCCAGGATGAATTCAAACTGTCCTTGACATCAATAAAACAGCACACAGCCATCCACCATTAGCAACCTACATCACATGGTGTGACATCAGTTACTCTGCATTAAAATTATATTAAAACTAGACTCACATGTACACCAGAATGCCAGTGACATAGTAGCCCATCCACTTCACAGTCCATCATAATCCTCAGGTTA